ATATATATATATATATATATATATATATATATATATATATATATATATATATATATATATATATATATGTATGTGTGTGTGTGTGTGTGTGTATTTAAACTTAAGTTCAGCTAGTTTTAATGGAAACATTTTTTATTTTCTTTTAGTTTAACTGATGTACTAAAGTAACTACAATTAAAACTGAAAATAGTTAAAACTATATATATTGACATTAAAAATAATAATAATAATAATAATAAAAATGACAAAAACACAAACATTTAAATATAAAAATACAAAATATTAAAACTATTAATAAAAACTATAATCATATATCATCAATATTAAAATAAGACTGATCTGTAAGTATATTTGCTGCACATTATGTGTATTATATAGATACCCCAAAAATGGGGGTTTTGTTTTTGCAATAATTTTTACAGTAATTTCTCAGTAAGTAATGGTACAGTGAAAACCAGCCAATGCACAGTAGATTTTGCTCAGCAACAAAAATGATACTGAACACTGGCTGTGAGCGCTGGGAGAGATTTGTTTACTCATAACCGCTGAGATATGGAAAGGTAAGATGATCAGCGTGAATGCACTTATATGGCTATCTTTCAGCACGTCGCTGTCGCTCTGGCCTCGTCTTTCCTCCTCATCGTCAGCTTTTTGAACCCACTTTTTGTGTTGTCCTGTGGCTGTGGCTGTTGCTGTCATGTAGGGCCGCATGCGAGAGAATCCGGCCTGAACTGAAATAGCTGTGCCTCTCACGTCTCGCTAATGTAATTAGAAAGCGTTTGCATTGACTGATAACACAAGAATGTGTTCCAGCCCAGCAACTATTTTGGGAGCGTCATGCTGTCCAGTCCTCTGGTGCCCTTGTCTTAGACCCAGCAGAAGTTTTGGTGATGAGGCTTATGTAAACACAAGAGAAATACAGGTCAATAGTGATGTGCGGTTTGCTCATTTTAATTGTGTATATATATATATATATAGAAAAAAATATGAAACAGAACAAACTGAGACAGACTTAATCCAGAAGAACTCCAAGATGCTTCAAGAAACCTACCTGCAAAGCTCCCTGAAAAACTATGTGCAAGTGCACCGAGAGCAAAAGCTGCTTTAAACGCAAAGGATGCTCACACCAAATGTTGATTTAATTTAGTTAATAGAAGTTAATTGATAAAGAAAATCTAAGGCATTATTTTTGACAGCATCCTCATTTTACAGTATTTTTACACAGGTGCCTACAACTTTTAACAGTACTGTAGCTTTGCAGGAGGTTTCTTGAAGCCACAGTTCTTCTGGATTGAGTCCGTCTCAGTTTGTTCTGTTTCTTCATGTCATTCCACACAGACTGATGATGATCAGCTCAGATCTCTGTGTGCAGCAAACTAAAATCTCACTGGATTATTACAATTAATGGCTAAATGAATGTTTGGAAATGTAACTGAAATGTAATATTTCCTACTGACACGCTACAGCAAAAGATAAAAATAACTGACTTAAACCCATTTTTTTAGCTTGTGAAAATATTAGTATTCTAATAATGTTAGCCACCAATGTGTGTATATATATAGTACTATTTTAACTTAATTTTTTGATTGCATGTTATAATTCGTTATTTTGTTTTGTTGTATTATTTTTTTGTAGAAAGACACGTCATAAAGAGATGACAGGAAATGGTCCCATGACAGATTCAAATCTGTATCAACCATTTCCTGTCCTTTTTCCTACCCAGCCCAAAACAATAAAGTTTAAATAGTAAGACATGCATCACAGCTCATTGCAGCAACCAATGCATTAATTTCTGCATTAAGCATTAAACCATCTAGTATTTTGCATACCTGGCAGTAACAAATGCTTCATGTTGGAAAGTTGAAATACATCATATTGCATCTTCCATTTTACGGTGTTCCAGTTTGTTTTACAAATATTAGAACGTCTTGTTCTTCTGTCTTTATTTGTGATGCAACATTTCCAGTTTGTTTTACAAATATTAGAACGTCTTGTTCTTCTGTCTTTATTTGTGATGCAACATTTATGCAACAGACAAATCCATACAAGAGCACAGTTTGAGACTCAGTAATGATGCCAGTATCGGTATCAGCGGATCCATAATTTGTGAAGTTATATGTACATTCAGGGATGTCATAATGATGGATAATCACCTCAGAGCAGTTTAGCACTTACGTGGGTGGACGAAAAGTCAGTACAGCAAATGTGGGAAAAGCACTAAAGTTTAAAACTGGATTGTAATAGTCTGAGCTGAGCTATAAACATGACTGGTACAAATAATTTAGAGCATTAAACTTTGTGTTTATTTCATCCTGCTGTGAAAGTCTGGCAGGAGGGACTTTGACCAAAGAGCAGCACATTAATACTTGATCTGAAAGGTAAATTGGTAATGAAGACAGATGTTGACACATGATAACAGAGAATGTCATTATCTCATCTGATAGCAGAGTTCAGATCTCTTATCTTTTTATCTAACTTCATTCTCTGGGCTGGTTGTGTGGTATTTGTAATCTAAAGTGACAAACAGGAAGACATTCATTTCAGTAGGAGTTCCCAGCGCCATTAGCTGTTTGTTTCCATCCAAGGTCACGAATTTAGTTTATGCGCAAAATTGGAATATTGCATAAAACATTTACGAATGGAGCACCTTTTCCATCCAGCAAGACGAAGAGAACAAAATCGTCACTTCCTGATAAACTGGTGCCAGATATCACTAAGAAAAAGATCATTTACTGCAGTAGAAGAAGCCACTGTGTCTTTTTTCATATATAATAAATTACTAGCGCCTCAGAGCATGCAGACGAATCGCAATAAATTCGGTCATTATCTTGCTTTCAGAGCCAGATGCTTTTTTAATTAGAATACAGTTTATGAATTTGAATTGAGGCAGGAAACAGAATGCAAAATAGCTATTTGAATTTAATGATGTAGAATGAAATCAAAATTCTATAAGAAATTCAAATAGCTAGTGGAATTTTTAGCCAAGAAAAGGTTTGTCAACTTCAAGACAAACTTTGAGTGATGGCTTGACAATAGGGCTGTCAATTTTCTTTTTCTAAGAAACATCCACATTCGAACACAAAAACCTCCAACGCTGCTGCATTGTTCATTCAAAATATTGCGGAAAAAGACAACATCAATGCAGAGAAGATCTTGTTTGCATCAAAACTGATACCAAGCCGTTCACACAGAACACATATTTCACGCATTTTCATCTATCAGCGTTGCACTCGCGTCTTGCACAAAAGAGCCACATGTTTAGAAAGTCATGTAAAATTAATGCAAAAAAAAAACCATATCTCGCGACTTTATGGCGGGTTTTTTCCCCCATCCCAAAATTTGTTTTCCATGCGATGTAGTTTGGAGTGAAATAATGAGACGGGGAACAACTCAACTATTTGCATGCTGTACGAATAATGACAAGTAAATAGAAATAGTATCTAACATTATTATGAAAACATAATTGTGAGATGTAATCTCAGAATCCAGAGAAATCGTCAAAATTTATATCTCACATTTTTTCCTTTTTTCTCAGAATTGCAAAAAAAAAAATCTGAATTTTGAGATAAAGTTGAAATGATCTTTTTTTTCTCCCTAATTAAGTGCTCTTGTTATCAGTTCTCTTCATAAGTCCCAAACACACACGCTGCATCTTCTCTGAGGAGGTCAACCTCCACGCATGGCTTCAGAGCAGCTGTGGGTGCAGGGCAGAAGAGGAAAGTCCATGACAAAGGAACAGTAGGTTTCACTGTCTGGCCGACCTCCAGCACTCATTACCGAGCTATGTTGCATACCAATAACCAAGAAACCTTTTGTCTGTCTAAGCAGGTCTGCGAGGGAAACAGAAGCGAGAGTTTTTGAGACCAGGTCGTGTGTGTGTGTGTGCAAGAGCGAGCCAAGCTCATTCAGGAGTCATAGAGTTAAAAATAACTTTATTGCAGATCATGTTTTGGAAGGAGGGATCTACTTCCCAGGCTGGGACAGCCTGCCATGCAGGGGCAGCACAGGTGGAGTGTGTGTGCATGCGTTTGTGCATGTGCGTGTGTGTTTTTGTAGCAGCGGCAGGAGCGCGTTGACTTCACACACAAACACACTCTTTTCCGGGCCTGTCCTGATGGTGTCTATCCTGTGTTGTGCTCCAGATGAGCTGCTGGATGTAACCTGGCTCCATAAGTGCTATGAATGACTCCCTGGATGAGACGCGCAGCCTTGGGGAGAAAGCGGCCATATTTCGGGGAGCGAAAGGCAGTGGGAACGTCGTCGGGTCGGCCTTCATCCCATTGTGCTCCCCCTTGCAGCCACCCAATGCTGCGGTCTCCACACACTTCAAGGGAAATAGGTAGGACACGCTTTCTGTCGCAACTCATTTTTGTGCATGCAAACGTCCATTGTGTGTACACACTGTATAATAAACAACTATCCGATACTCTACATCAATACCGTACCTCGTTTCTCAGCAGTTAATCGTTAACGCATCCGATCGGACAAGCAGTAGAGCAGCCTTAGTGCTCTCCGCAATGTCTATGTGAAAACACCGTAGACTTTGTACCTGTAAACAGACGGGTTGAGTGCATCCAAACTGGAATCAAATCAAGCACCTGTTACTTTCCAACTCTGGGGAGGAATCGCGAGTCCTTCTGCGCTGGGACTTTATGTCACGTCTTCCACGTGTTTGTGATACGGTAGCTGTGAGATCATGACGGCACGGCTCGAATGCAGCCCTCCAAGGAGGACTCTTAAGTGTTTATTTGTGCCGTAACCAACAAACAACTGAGCTCACTCACATGTAGACACACAAACAAGTGAATTAAATGCACCACACTGTGTTGCAGCTTCCTTAGATTAGGCTGACCGTATTTTCATATGCAGATATGTTTGTCGCCTTTTTTTAAGGCGAAGATGCTCTAGGTCAGGGTTCCTCAAATCTTGCCCTGGAGGGCCAATGCGCTGCAGAGTTTAGCTCCAACCCTGATCAAACTCACCTACCTGTGGATGTTCTTATGATCCTGAAGACACTGATTAGCATGCTCAGGTGTGTTTGATTAGGGTTAAAGCTAAACTCTGCAGGAAAGTGGATCTCGTGGGCCAGATTTGAGGATCCCTGCTCTAGGTGAATAGGGTAAAACATTAAACTAATAGCTTTCACCATAGTTCCTCAGTTGGTTGATTACATTAAGAATTGCAAACATTTTGTGTAATACAAGGTTTCTGAAATGTTATATTTAATTATGCAAATGAGGCATACACACATTTTGAAAAACTGCCTTTAAAGATATGCATTGTAATTGAAATCTATAGACACAAAGTGCAAAAAAACTTTGTAATGTAATATTTTCTTTCCAGCTGTCCGAAACAGCACTTTGCAAAAAGCCAAATAGCCCAAACTGTAAACATTGACCACTGCTTGAAAAAAAATGTATTTGTTGTGCCTGTAGTGTCTTGCCTTAAATAATGACAAGATGTAGATACAGGAATAGTTCACTCGAAAATGAAAGTTCATGATTTACTCTCTCTCTCATGTCGTTCCATACCTGATGACTTAATTTTTTTCTTCTGTGGAAAACAAAAGAAGGTATTTTGAAAAATGTGTGTTTCTGTTCATTCAATGCAAGTCAATGGGATGTAGTGTTGTTTGGAGCGCACTGTTCTTTAAAATCTTTTCTTGTGTTCTAAAAGAAAGTCAGACATGTTTGGAATGATGTGAGTAATTGATGAAAGAATTTTCATTTTTGGGTGAACTGTGCCTCTAAGTCTAATGTGTTTCAGTGTTCTTGCTGGTCAAGTCAGTTGAAACAGGACATTTTTAAGAGCACTCAGGACGATTCCTGGTTTACCTAGGACACACCTCGTGAAACTGGGACTGCTCTAAGTAATCCTGGTCGCCCTGCCACACACAAATACTGTACACAGCTCAAATACACAGTGTTGGGGAGTAACTAGTTACATGTAACGGCGTTACATAATTTAATAACAAAATAAATGTAACTGTAATCAGTTACAGTTACTAAGAAAAAATGTGTAATTAAATTAGTTACTTATGAAAATGTTAATGATTACAAAGGGGATTACATTTGAATATTTACACACATCCACATACAGATTTAATTGATTTCTTTCCCAAATTGCACTGACTACTCTGAGACATATTGTCCTATAATTTCCACGATGCGTTCGTAGAATCCAGTCATAAAAACGGAGATCCTATAACCTAACGCGGACGGAATATGCCACATTTTGGATGAATAAATCAAAAGTAGGTCAGTACACTTGAATCAAAACGCGATATGGACTAGTGTCTGTGAATATTAAGCCACAAAAAGACAATATATGAATCCTGCATGTTCTGCGTGTCTGTGGAAATCAGGCACGGACTGGCCATCAGGAGAATCGGGACAATTCCTGGTGGCCTGGCAGCCGATTTGGCCCGCTATTTTAATATCATTATTGTATAATTGCCTGTCGAATGTACTAAAGCGATTATTTCCGAATTCTCCATTCGATAATTAAATCTCTAATAAATCATGAATCGGTTAGTCATGGCAATGCTTCGGCTCGCACGCTCTCCGCACCTCCGCCAAATGGTTTGGATCAGATCAGAGTAATCAATGCGAGAGAGAGAATGGAGTGGACTTACAGTAGTCATTTAGCAGACAAATAATCATATTTTATAATAGGTTTAGGGGGAGCTAGGGCAGACAACAACACAACCCTTACGAAAACTACGATGATTTTACTATAAATCCAAAGACAATGGTTAATAATGGTTACTAACCACAAATCAACCATGGTTTTTGCTACACTAACCATAGTTTAACCATGGCATTTGTAGTAAAAATAAATACAAATGGTAATACATTTGCAAAAAAAAAAAACTATAATACTTTACTATAATAAAAACATGGTTAATTTTTGTAAGGGAAAAACATGACTCGTGTTCAGTATTAGGATTTTTCTATAAAGATATTGTAGTTATGCACCTATTTTGACATGTAGGCAATTTAGAAAGTATAGTTTTGTTAAATCTTGAGTATTAAAGTCATGAGAGAGATAGATATCAGGGCAAAATAAAGAGACTGAAAAGAAAAATGGACGTGAAGGTGCCGTTCAGGAGAAAACTTTTAATTATTTTGCATGTCCCCAACTTAAGGATTAAATCCTTTTTTTTGTGAGGTCCATACAAAAAATAGGGTTGTCCATGTTTCAGAATTTGTTGTGGGTGTATGAGTGTGAGATTTCCCGGCCTGAATTTTTTTCCCAGTCCGCCCCTCGTGGAAATGAATGGCGCAGACATGCGGTTTCATTTACTACATATAGGCCTACTGAAGCTCGCGGTGTTTTCAGCCTCTGCCGCATCAATATATGAGTACATGAACACATAAAAATAATCTCTAGAACTGCTCTGAGTCACTTCATGAGCATTTTACTTATCATATACAAAGAGACACCAATGTTTCAGGAGTTTAGTACACAGAATAGGACACATGCTTATTAGATAACCATATTTGAGTTGATGTATATGCTTTTATTTATTATTATTTTTTAATTAACTATTTTTTTCCCAAACCATTGTTAGATGCAGTGTTTCCTGTTTTGATTTCTTATCTATTAACTATTTCTTATCTTAACTGTTTTTTATGATTTTAAATCTGCATTGAACTTCCGATCAATCTCAAAGTAAAAGGCGGTACTAAAGTCGGTGGATGTGTTCAAATTTGATCATCTTAATCCTAGTTATGAAGGATTTTGAAAGTCTGACAGTGTTGAGCACTACTGTAAGGTTAACCCTGCATGGTGTAAATGTTTGAAAATGATTAACAGTTGCAAATAAACATTCATTAGAAATTTAGAAAAGTAATCAAAAGTAATCAGTTACATTACTTTAATAAAGTAATTGGAAAAAGTTACACAACTATTACATTTTAAATCGGGTAACTTCTAATCTGTAACCTATTACATTTCCAAAGTAACCTTCCCAACACTGCATATACACATACTTTAAATACTTGCTGGAGAAGATGTTTTTTTCACTCTTTATTTCTCTTTCTATTTCTGTGCGTCTGTATGTTTAATTAAGCCATAGTGCTTTGCTAATGCCGCACTCCAATTTAATTGCTATGGTGATTCTCTTTGAAGTTATTTTTGCTTATGTTCAAATTTTTATTGATTTCATATATATATATATATGTAACATTGTTCATGCATTTGAAAAAACTCTGTTCACTAAGGCTGCATTTATTTGATCAAAAATACAGTAACAGCATTTTTCTCGAGTGTGTCTTCAGTGTCACATGATCCTTCAGAAATCAATGTAATATGCTGATTTGATGACCAAGAAACATTTCTTATTATCAGTGTTGAAACCAATTGTGCTGCTTCATATTTTGGTGGAAACCATGAAACATTTTCCTTCAAAATTCTCTGATGGATGGAAAGTTCAAAAGAACAGCATTTATTTGAAATAGAAATAGTTTGTAATAACATAAATGTCTTTACTGTCGCCTTTGATCAATTGAATGCATCCTTGTTTAATAGTTTCTTTCAAAAAGAAAATGAAAAAAATCAATCTTACTAAAATATATACATGTTTGATTTAGGATAATAAAAGCAATCTCTCTCTCTTTCTCTCTCTTCAGTCTTCTCAAGTATCCATTCCTCCTCTTAGTTGGGTGTTCCAGCTGAGATACAGCAAAACACACACAGACAGACCAAATGAGTTTGCAGCCCCTGCAAGTGACTCTTTATACACATTGCATTATGTCCATGATATCAAAATGAAAAAAAGAGATTTTTGAATAATGAAAAGTCTATTTTAGAACTATAAACCTGTAGTGCATTGAAATAAATTGTAACAAAATGATGTGTATATTTAATTCTGCATATGTAAAAGATAGTACGATAATTACTAAAATTATGTATATAAATACTTTATAATTGAAATAATGTAGCATTATTTGTTCCCACATTATACTGCTGAAAGCTATTTTCTTGGGTTATAGGATGAAAATAATCCAACATTTCTTAATGCTCCTACAAGCAAGCTTCATTTTCTTTAAGCAAACAATGCAGGTGAAATATGACCTGTGCACGTTCTCTGCGTTTTTCGTGAGATTTACCCATCAACAGAACTCTCTAAACGGATTATAAATAAGCACATGATCACACAGCATCAGTCCGCCGCTCCTCCGGGGATCGTTCAGGTACTGCCGATGAAGTCATCTCTGGCTGTTGCCTGGGAGACGGAACTTCAGTCATCCGGTCTGTCATCATATGACATCAACCGCTGCCTCACACAGCTGCTGTCTGCTGCGCTGAGAATGCAGGACGTCTGGCTTATGAAATGTCATTCGCGCCTCACATACATGATAAGTGCTATTTTGATGGTGCTAGTCGTCCCTGAGGACGCAAATTCGAGTTTCGCAGCCGTACTGTACTTTGTGATCTCAGCCAGGGTTATTATCATTAACTAAAACTAAAACCATAAAAACATTTCATTACTCTAAATAAACATGAACTGAAATAAATCTAGTTGCTAAGGTGCCATTTCTTATTTTCTCATTTCTCAGTTGAAGCAGGGTTATTATAACGAACTAAAACTAAAATTAAAACAATAAAAAAAAACATTGACATAAATGTTAACTGACATGAAATAAAATATGAAAAACTTCAAAACATCAGCTAGTTGCCAAGGCAACATTCCTTATTCTAATTTAGTTTAACTTGATTTACTAAAATAACAAACTAAAACTGAAATAGAAATTTATACAAACTGTATGGATTAAAGAAAAAAACTACTAAAATCACAGAAATAGAGCAAAAATACTAAAACGGAACTAAAATCTAAATGAAGACAGAAAATATAAAATAAAATCCAATTCAAACTATTAATAAAATTACAGTAGTGTCTAGCTTTTGCCTGATATAGCACAAGTACTAAAATAACAAAAACTAAATAGCCTAAAATAATATATATATATATATATATATATATATATATATATATATATATACAGGGGTGCACATAAGTGGTCCGCATGCGCAACCAAAATAGGAAATGCGCTGTGTAAATTATTTCAGAGCGCGCGTTTGCGTACCTACATGGTTGACAACTGTTAATGCACAATTACCATTTTAGATCAAATCAAATTTACACAATTCAAATTCAAATAGTATTGTCATATTATAAGATCCATAGTAACCCTTTTTTTTTTTGGAAGACTTAATAACATCAAATACATTTATTGGTGACATGACATTTCTGGCTCAGACGATTGGTTCAAAAACTATCCTCCAATGCTTTAGACTCTCTGAACAGTGCTACAATCTACCATAATTTAAAAATAAGTTTCTTATCATTGATTTTTCTCTCCTCAGAAAAAGTAGAGCGGTGGATGAAACACAAATGGGACACGTCCCAAATCCCTTCCCAGAGTTGCTGCCGGCCGCTGTCTCTCTAGTGTCTGAGTGTCTGTTACCCTGGACCAAAAACAGTGCGACTCAGGTGAGACACGTATGATTTACTCAAGCCACTGCTGTTCAGAAGAGCTGCCTCGCTGTCTGCAGCCTACATAGGGAACATTATAGGACTGGTTTCTGTTTGGCGAATAGATGCAGTTCGCTAAAGGATGTTTCTTAAAAGGCTCCAACAGCTTTTGTGTCTATAATGTCTTAAAATGCTGCCTACGTAGGCATCTTGGCTTTGGAACAAACCATAGTGTATCATATGGAAGCATATGTTTTTGTATGAGTGCATTGATTGGTTAAGCAGTTGGTTGGTTGACTGATTGATTGTCCCTGGTCTTGTTCTCATTTGGTTAAAAAAATCCAGAAGCCAAAACAAACTTTCATCACTTTCTCATTTCATTGCTCCAACGTCTTAGTTTCATTCCCAGTCAGTAACTACAGTACAAACACTTAGATGGAGGTAATATTTCAATGTAAGTCCACTAGTAAGGCTAACTCTAAAAACACAGCATACAAACAGATGCAGTCTGATAAACAGGCAGAATGTGTAAACCTCCCCAGAGCGCTAATGACGTACGCTGGAACACAGAGATGTTGAACCAGTTTAGCTGGAATAGAAATGAACTGGGACGGGGAATGAAATCGCTGTGTCAGCTTTCTGAATTTGTCCTTTTTTGGATGTAGTTTCTAATCCAGTACGAAAACAAGGAAAAAGCATGGCAAAGGGCAATGTAGACATTTTTAACAGCACTTATAATTAGAGAAGGAATGTACTTGATGTACATTGACAGACATTACTTTGTCAGCTTGACAGAATTATGCCTGAAATAAGTTTAAAAACATAATACTGTAGTTTAATTGTTATTGTTTTATGCGGGCTGGATGGATGGATGAACGAACGAACAGATGAATGGATGAATGAATGGATGAACGAATGAATGAATGAATGGATGGATGCACGCCACGGTTGGATGGATGGACGAATGGACAAATGGATGGATGAATAAATGAATAGATGAATGGACGGATGGATGGATGGATGGACGATAGATGAACGGATGGATGAATGGGCAGATGGATGGATGGATGGATGAATGGACAGATGGATGGATGGACAGATGGACGAATGGATAGATGGGATGGATGAATGAATGGATGGATGGATGAATGGACGGATGGACAGATGGATGAATGGATAGATGGGATGGATGAATGAACGAATGGATGGATGGACAGATGAATGGATGAATGAAAAGATGAATGAATGGACAAATGGATGGATGGATGGACAGATGCATGGATGAATGAACAAATGGATGGATGGATGAATGGACGGATGGACAGATTAATCGATGAATGAACGGATGGATGGACAGATGAATGGATGAATGAACAGATGGATGATGGATGAACGGATGATTGGACGGATGGATGGATGAATAAATAAATGGACAGATGGATGAATGGACAATAGATGAACGGATGAATGAATGGATGAATGGGCAGATGGATGGATGGATGAATGACAGATGGATGGATGGATGAACAGATGAATGAATGGTTGGATGAATGGACAAATGGATGGATGGACAGATGGACGAATGGATAGATGGGATGGATGAATGAACGGATGAATGGATGGATGGACAGATGAATGGATGAATGAACGGACGAATGGACAGATGGATGAATGGATAGATGGGATGGATGAATGAATGGATGTATGGACCGATGAATGGATGAATGAAAATATGAATAAATGGACAAATGGATGGATGAATGAACAGATGGATGGATGAACGGCTGGACCAAAAACAGTGCGACTCAGGTGAGCCACGTATGATTTACTCAAGCCACTGCTGTTCAGAAGAGCTGCCTCGCTGTCTGCAGCCTACATAGGGAACATTATAGGACTGGTTTCTGTTTGGCGAATAGATACAGTTCGCTAAAGGATGTTTCTTAAAAGGCTCCAACAGCTTTTGTGTCTATAATGTCTTAAAATGCTGCCTACGTAGGCATATGGAAGCATATGTTTTTGTATGAGTGCATTGATTGGTTAAGCAGTTGGTTGGTTGACTGATTGATTGTCCCTGGTCTTGTTCTCATTTGGTTAAAAAAATCCAGAAGCCAAAACAAACTTTCATCACTTTCTCATTTCATTGCTCCAACGTCTTAGTTTCATTCCCAGTCAGTAACTACAGTACAAACACTTAGATGGAGGTAATATTTCAGTGTAAGTCCACTAGTAAGACTAACTCTAAAAACACAGCGTACAAACAGATGCAGTCTGATAAACAGGCAGAATGTGTAAACCTCCCCAGAGCGCTAATGACGTACGCTGGAACACAGAGATGTTGAACCAGTTTAGCTGGAATAGAAATGAACTGGGACGGGGAATGAAATCGCTGTGTCAGCTTTCTGAATTTGTCCTTTTTTGGATATAGTTTCTAATCCAGTACGAAAACAAGGAAAAAGCATGGCAAAGGGCAATGTAGACATTTTTAACAGCACTTATAATTAGAGAAGGAATGTACTTGATGTACATTGACAGACATTACTTTGTCAGCTTGACAGAATTATGCCTGAAATAGGTTTAAAAACATAATGCTGTAGTTTAATTGTTATTGTTTTATGCGGGCTGGATGGATGGATGAACGAACAGATGAATGGATGAATGAATGGATGAACGAATGAATGAATGAATGGATGGATGCACGCCACGGTTGGATGGATGGACGAATGGACAAATGGATGGATGAATAAATGAATAGATGAATGGACGGATGGATGGATGGATGGACGATAGATGAACGGATGGATGAATGGGTAGATGGATGGATGGATGGATGAATGGACAGATGGATGGATGGACAGATGGACGAATGGATAGATGGGATAGATGAATGAATGGATGGATGGATGAATGGACGGATGGACAGATGGATGAATGGATAGATGGGATGGATGAATGAACGAATGGATGGATGGACAGATGAATGGATGAATGAAAAGATGAATGAATGGACAAATGGATGGATGGATGGACAGATGCATGGATGAATGAACAAATGGATGGATGGATGAATGGACGGATGGACAGATGGATGGATGGACAGATTAATCGATGAATGAACGGATGGATGGACAGATGAATGGATGAATGAACAGATGGATGATGGATGAACGGATGATTGGACGGATGGATGGATGAATAAATAAATGGACAGATGGATGAATGGACAATAGATGAACGGATGAATGGGCAGATGGATGGATGGATGAATGACAGATGGATGGATGGATGAACAGATGAATGAATGGTTGGATGAATGGACAAATGGATGGATGGACAGATGGACGAATGGATAGATGGGATGGATGAATGAACGGATGAATGGATGGATGGAAAGATGAATGGATGAATGAACGGATGGATGGATGAACGGACGAATGGACAGATGGATGAATGGATAGATGGGATGGATGAATGAATGGATGTATGGACCGATGAATGGATGAATGAAAAGATGAATAAATGGACAAATGGATGGATGAATGAACAGATGGATGGATGAACGGACGGATGGATGAATGGATAGATGGGATGGATGAATGAACGGATGAATGGACAGATGAATGGATGAATGAACGGATGAATGGATGAATGAACAGATGGATGGATGGATGAACGGACGAATGGACGGATGGATGAACTGATGGATGGACAGATGGATGAATGAATAGATGGGATGGATGAATGGATGGATGGACAGATGAATAGATGAATGAACAGATGAATGAATGGACAAATGGATGGATGGATGGACAGATGGGTGGATGAATGAACAGATAGATGGATAAACGGACGAATGGACGGATGGATAAACAGATGGATGGACAGATGGATGAATGGATAGATGGGATGGATGAATGAACAGATGAATGGATGGATGGACAGATGAATGGATGAAGGAACGGATGGATGGATGAATGGACAGATATACAGATGGATGGATTGATAGATAGACGAATGAAAAAATGGATAAGTGGATGGATGGATCGATTGATGGACGAAAGGATGGATGGATCAGTTGGCTGAAGTAATATGTTAAGTTTGGTGGATGTAGCTTTAAAAATGTTGTATTAATTACAATCATAATGTTTCAATATAAGTCAATGGGATTTTAGAGATATCTGATCATTTACTAGAGAAAAACCCATATGTCTGATCAATTAGAAAATATACAGAGTCAGAACAGGCTGAAGATCTGTGCCGAATTTGTTGCATGTAGCTTAAAAGATCTAAAATGAGTTACATTAAATTTACATTCATTTACTGAGTATTTTTGGTTTTGCTGGCGACAAATAAACAATGAATATTGTGCCTTCTTTTTTCCTTCTGTTTTATGAATACTATGAATTCTTACATACTACTCTTTTCAGTTGTTGTTTTTTGCCTACTATGTAGTAGGGAAGTATTTAGATGCAACCTTAGAGTTAGCGAGTTTAATTCATTTCAGTGAATCAAAGTGTTTCAGATTGGAAAAGGTGCCTAACATTTAAATAGCATTCTTAGTGTTTAGTAAAAAACAGTGTGATATAATTTTTTTTTTCTTGAGTATTTAATTTCTTGCATTAAACAATATGAATCTAAAAGGCTACAAATAAAGCTGGTTGGTTGAAATGATAGTTACTAATTTCAGAAAAAAATGCGTAAATGTTGAGATGTCTCTAAAGCGTCGTAAGTTGTTATAATGTCTTCTTTCTATTTTAGCACTAACTGTGAAGAGCTTTAATTTTTTTGTATGAGATTATTTTGGTGCGTTATGTTTAATGAAAGCTGAGAGCCGTATATTAGATGCATCCTCACAGCGAGTTTGCTCCAGAACTTATATGGCCAATGCAATCTGCTTACATTGCTGATTTGAGAAAACCAAGACCCCTGTGGATCTTATTATATGACAAATATATGTTATGAACGGCCATCCAGAACAGCTTTGACCTGCAGCAAAATCTGCAAATTACAGCATATTGAAA